TGTTCATGATATGTTATATCCGGTTTATTATGGACTTCGGTCCGATGTCGGGCGAGGCCCGATGTAATGGGAGGTGCCCAAGTTATTCCAGACATCGGTCCGATGCCGGACGGGGCCCAAGTTATTCCGGACATCAGTCTGATGTCGGGCGGGACCCGATTTAGTGGGTGGGGCCCAATATTTGTTTTATGTGTTTATTATGTTGATGTATGGTATGTGGTAGTTTGGGGGAGCTCACTAAGCTTCGTGCTTACAGTTTTAGTTTGGTTTCAGGTACTTCAGCTAGCAAGGTGAAGGGCTCGGGTTTATGGCATGGCACACACCACATTTTTACCTTGGGAGTTATACTATGATATTTTCCATATATTTTTGATATCGGGTTTGATTTGATACATTGTTATGACTTTATGAGATACACGAGACATGGTTTGATAATATGATATTCGAGATTATGTTGTTAGTTAATGTTAAAACAAACAATTTTGGGTCGTATTTTTGGGATCTTTCATCCTTATAGATAATTAGGGAGTAGATAGTCATTATGTAAGTTGGTGATACAAATTTATGAATCTCATGTTTAACACATCATAATTTTCATGTTTGTGAACTCGTACGTCTTATATATTTTTATTCATGAGGTGATGGGTACATATTCAACACATGAATCATGTATTAATGAATTATAATATGTTTCGACCCAAAATTCAAATTTGACTAAACTGAATCGAGGTTTTCTTGGGCATATCTTCAAAATGATACGGCGATGATTTCGAAGTAGACAATGTTCAAGGACGGTTGATTTTCTATTTATAACACCTTGTTGACCCTGAGACTCTTTTAGAATATTACATATTATCATTAACCTAATAATCTTCCTAATATTATAAAAAGTAATGTACTTAAAATAATCTGATGGACGTGCTTCCTTCTTATATTTTCATCATATACATATATATTTGTAGAAAATCAAGTGTTAAGATGATGTACCAACAAAAATCATACCATAATCTTTTACATTTGTAGATCTCTATCATACAACACAAAAACAAATAAACACCGGAACAACCATCAATCATAAAAACCTTAAAATACCAATCTACAACATCGAAGTCACAGCTAGAAAAACAATAGCAATAAAACTAATGGCGATTGTGTTCAAGCTACCTGCATTCTTTGATGCATTGACCCGTGCAGTAGGAGAATACTGAGGGATGGTGGAATTAGGAGGTGTCGTGGTTGGCGTTGTTGTGGTCGAGGAGTTTGTCGGCAGTGTAGTCGCACCACCGGTAGTGGGAGCATCTGCTGGCGGGCTTAGGGCGGGGGCCGGTGCAGTAGCCAGAGGACCCTAATCAATATATGTGTAATAGAAGTTAAGGTTAAATGCAAAATAAATAAATAAAACAATGTACTTTCACTTATGTGTCTCTTATATGTATCATTATGTTTTCATTTTTTCTATTAAGGATTGGATTTTCAAATATTCTCTTATTTGTAATTCCTTATTGAAAAACTATACTTTGAAAATCTACTCGTGTTTGATAAAACTAGTTAATTTGTCGCTGGTAGCTGAAAGGTAAAACTTTTGTTTGATAAAAATAGTTGTAAACATTTAAATGAGTGAAATCACATAAAACTACAAATTAAAACTTTTAAAAGTTAAAATCTCTAAAACTAAAAGTTTCAAGTTCGAACTTCATAAATCTAAAAGTTAAAAACTACTAAAGCTTATAACCCAGCATATCCCAAACTATAAAAATAACAATTCATTTGTATTAGGATAACTTCAATAAGATGTTAACCTTACCTGACCCGTTTTGGAGAGTCCGATATCATATATTGACGTTAAATCTGTTTTGTAGATCCCAAAAAATCGTTCGGAACCCGCACCAGGTTTTAAATCCTCATCATATAATGCAAATAGATACGTATCAATGGATTTCCCAGGCATCAATGGAGTTCCGACCATGGATCTAAGATGAGCAACTAAGTTGCCATTGTAAGCCTTCGCATTGTCAATGGTTGCACCATGCTCAGTATCGCCGCCTTTGTATGGCCAACCTGTCTCAGCAACCACAATCTCAACATCTGGAAAGGCCATCGCATTCAATGCCGATCTCACTGCGTCCACCTTCATAAAATGGTGAAACATAGACTCATAAGTTATATAATAACTGCGAAGATACGGTAAAATAAATATTTGGAAGCTTTATAAAATAAAGGGTACATTCAAAAAAGAATAAAGGATTTGATTATTTTATATATATATATATATATATATATATATATATATATATATATATATATATATATATATATAGCTAGATGGGTGTTGGGGTACTACAGTACCCCAAAAAATATATTTTATATATATAAAAAGTATTATTTGTAAACATGTTTCATGTTATTATACCCCAACTAAAGATATTATAATATGTTTTATATTTAACTATATATAATATAGTGTACCTCCATATTAAAATTTTTGGTTCCGCCAGTGTATATATATATATATATATATATATATATATTGTAAAAAAATATAATATATAAATAGTTAGGAAATGGTTTAAATAAGAACCACAAACAAATGCTAAAAACTATGACAACCGATATTGACAATATTAAACTAAAAATGTTAGAAACCATCACAAGAGAGATTGACAATATTAAACTATGAATACTTAAAAAGAATATTTTATGGAATTCACAATTTAATATAAGACCCATATTACAGTCCTCAGAGTTTAGAGTTTGGTACTCTGATTTTCATAGTTCTAACATTTTTTACGTTTTAATTTCAATTTTTCACTGGATAGTTATTATTGTTAAATACATTGTTATTACAAATAAAGTATATATATATATATATATATATATATATATATATATATATATATATATATATATATATATATATATATATATATATATATATATATATATATATATAGCAAAACTCAAGTTGGCATTTTTTACAATTTTTCCAAAACTAAATATTAGATTAGATTAAAAAATATATTTTAATATTATTGAAACAAAGGTATTAATTAATTAATAATGTATACTTGTTGTGGGCTAAATACGTGGCGCACGTTCCGGCGAAACTTGAGCCAAATTTTAAATTCAAAAATAAAGATGCAGATGCTAACCGTGTCCTGAACAATTTAAATTTAAACTCACCTGAGCATCAAACATATTCATATACTTCACATTCGTGCCGGAATCCGGCCGGCCGGCGTTCGGCTCAAACAGGCAAAACGCCAGCGTATCAGGCCGTGGATCACTCTGGTAAGCAAAGTAAGGATAAGGATTGATCATGAATGGCGAAGCAGTTGCTTTGTTAAACTCCAAAAATCCCTTCAACAAAGCCTCATATTTTGGATCAAATCTTCCGGCAGACGGCGGCTCCGATTGTCCCAACACCGACATCGGGTGCACCGTTGACACCTTTATCTTCCCACCCAATGAAGCCGCTTCAAGGGCGTTTTGGAGATTTTGCATCGCCGGCAACAGTTGTGTCTTCAGATTCTCGTCGGAGTAGTACAACACCTCGTTGCCGACGTTGATGATGATGATCTTACTCGCCGGATAGTATGGTGATACATTAGAACTAATCCATCCTTTTGCAAAGTTCAAGTCGGCTGCCAACGCCGGAATATCACTGTTGGAAGTACCGATTGTGATGCCGATGCCGGTGTTCGCTAAAGCTTTGATTATTCCTGCGTCGACTCCGTACATCCTTACTTTCCCGATTGAAGTTGATTGAAGTAGCTTCGCGGTGGCTGACGGCGGTGGAAGGTTGTCGGCGGTGACGCCATAGTTTACTCCGATATATGATTGCGATCCTAATTAAGTCATAAAACCAAACATACAAACAAATATCAGCGATTGTTCATATATAGTAAGTATTACATGACCCTCAAAAGAAATTGAAAATTTGAGAGTTAGAGAAGCTTACTAACGACGGCTGCGGTGTTGAGGAGGAGGAGGAGGAAGAAGAAGTAGGTGGTGGTTGTTGAAGGCGGAGACGCCATGATTGGGAGCTTTGAGGCACCTTGTTCACGTGTGTGTTTTTGAAGAGAAAGAGAGGGACAAAAATGGAAAATGGGTTACTTAAGGACTACGGTCGGCAACATGGGAAGCGTCAGTGGTTTAGGTTAATGTTTTTTTGTTTCGTATGAAATTAAATTTAGTGACTTTTTTTAATTTAACGTGTATATTCGTAAAGTTGAAATTGAGAAAATACAGTGGAAAAGACATCTTAAAAAATATGTTTAATAATTGTCCTTGATTTTGTTTTTCATCACTTTAAAAACTTAACTTTTTCATTCTGCTATTTAATTATATGTATTTGGAAACCATCCCTTTCTTATTCCTATCAAGATCTTTTGTTTTAGATTTACTTTTTTTTTTGGTGTTTCGATCTAACATCCAAAAATATGCTTCATACTTAAAAAAATATTTGTTGCTAATAAGATTTGTGATTATTATTGATTTATATACGACGTTGACATTTTAATGACAAGTTATAAGTTAAAATAATAAACGATCACAACAGATTACGATGGTTTATAATTGATTTTGATTTACAATATGCCAACAAGAATCATCGAGAAACGAGAATCACCATAAGCTCCCGGCCATGGAGAGCTTGAACCACTACGTTACCTTCGATAGTTCTTTCATCAAAATTTTCAAACTATTGTGAAAGATCTATTGCAAGAATGAATTGCCATGACTGGTTAGGATGGGTTAAACCGGTTTATACTTCACCATCATGAAGTGTATCACCCTTTATAAACATAGGGAAAATGACATATATGCCATATTAAGTTTCTATGGTTTACTCATTTAACTTATTTTGTGGTTTTACGAGCGAACAAACTTTTGGGCAACCTGTCTATTTAGTCTCCTAGATTTGTGTTAACCGATTTCCTTGCCACATATACATTATTTGCCACATCATTCAAGTCAACATTCAAACCTGGACCATAATTTCCCTAGTTAACTACTTTGAAATTCAACACATGCTTCAATTCAACTTGCCACTGTACAAGCTCCTCTGGCATCGGCAAATACACCATCTGCACACTTACCGGCTCCACTAAATACAGTTTGATCACGATACACATTAGCTTTTAGAATGCCATCTTCTTTAAGCTTAAGGTTTCTCTTGTTTTATGACCTTTAGATAATGGAATTTGAGAAATTCAAAAGGTGTAGACCCAGATGAGATATTGAAGAAATCATGCTTAAAATGAAAATCAAATCTTTGAGTGTTGTTGAAGTTTGTAAAATTTAAAAGGGGTACAAGTGCTTGACTTACCTAAAGCTAATGTCTGTTGTGAAATATGAAGAAAAAAACAGAGTGAACCGAACCCAGATCAGAGGATTGATTTTGCAACATTATTCCATGTTATCAAAACATTTATCAGGAATCTGATTTGATCGAAAGTGTACCCGTAATCCTCATCGTTTCCTCTTGAAATAACAATGCAATCAAGATGAGAAGTAAATCAATAGAACCGTAGATGAGAACCAGAAGTGAAGCAAGATAAATTTATTTATTCTTACTTGGGGATGGAATGAAACAGAAAGAAATTGATTTCTCCTTCTTCGATCTACCACTATGTCTCCTTTTCTTTTGTTTATTGTTAACAACGATGTACTCATCAACAACAACCAGATCTTTATCCTCTCGAATCTCTTCCATTCGCCACATGTGTCTTCTAGTGTTTCTGGGTGAACCGATATTAGAAAAATCGATTGTTGTAGCAGTGACGAGACCCATATAGGTCGGTGACCTCCTCAAAGACATCAAGTCTGGTTTTTTTATCTCTTGGCAGGGGAAGGCGAAAGCACGAGAGATCGTGAAGGGAGAAAGGGGTTTTAGGTTCAGAAGGAAGAGTGTTCTTGGGTTGCGGGGTCTGTATGGTGGTGGTGAGTCCATTGATTTGGTTGAGTGGAAGAATTAAAAGAACGAGATGTTGTTGATAATGAGTTTTAATGTTGCAGGTTTCTATTTGAGAAATAAGGAGGGGAAGAAGACGATAATGGGTGTGGGGTATAGTCACGTTGCATTAATAAATGATGTGGTAAAATTATGACCGGTTTACCTCTTCAATACTTCAAAAAGGACGTAATTGAACCGACAAAAACGAGTTTGTTCCCTCATAAAGCCAAAAAATAAGTTAAGTGGCTAAATGGATTGTAACGACCCAATTTTTACGTCCGAAAATTTCATTTTTAAGATATTACTTTAGAAAACATTAATAAATAAAAACATTGTTTGTTCACACCATAACACATTGCAACCATGTTCTCAAAAGCCAAACCGTACATCCCATCAAAATATCAGAGTACAATCCCAGTAAATCTCATAAATGCGGAAACCGAAGAGTGTGTGTATGACGTGCCGCTACCACGCCGGCTCCTTCCCCTTCGATGCAGAGGTACCTGAAAACAAAACTGTAAACGTAAGCACAAAGCTTAGTGAGTTCCCCCAACGTACCGCATAACATACAAACACATAACATACGTACTGCCAGGCTATTCTGGGGTGCCTGACTACCCGGTACGGCCATTCTGGGGTGCCGACCTACCTATACGGCCATTCTGGGGTGCCGTCTTACCCGTGTCAAGCCATTCTGGGGTGCTGACTACCCATGTCAAGCCATTCTGGGGTGCTGACTACCCATCGGTCCTAACAACCGATCCTCGGGGACTATTTCACCCCTACTACTACGATCACATATAACATAACAAGCCAGCATGCATACATATCATCACATACTGTCAGACGTATCTGGGGTGTCTGACTACCCTTTGGTCCTAACAACCAAACTCTACTACTATCACATACAACATATCATGCTAGCATATAACATGTCAGGTAATAGCGAACTTAGATGATATCACAAAGACAATCATCTATCATACATCTCCTACTGGTGGGTCGGCATTGTGGCCTTAGACCCACGCTACTGGAAGGTAACTCACCTCAAAGTAGCTGCTGAACTGATCGGGAACTAACTGACTGCTGCTGCTCCGGGAGTCCTCCGGCTGCAATTTCCACGACATACTCAATCAAACACTGCTAACTGTCCTTTAGGTAAAATGACCATTTTACCCCTGGTTTAGCTCTAAGCCAAAGCTGGAGTCAACTTTCAGTTGACCCGACTCGCCGAGTCGATCACCACTCGCCGAGTCCCTAGCAAACCAATGTCCTGGGTCCCTGGTTCTACTCGTCGAGTCGGGCTATGACTCGACGAGTTCACCTTCTAACTGTCATTCAACACCTTCATCCTACTCGCCGAGTTGTATGAACAACTCGTCGAGTTCATCTTCATCCGATGAACACTTTATGCTAAGACTCGCCGAGTTGTATGAACAACTCGCCGAGTCTGTTCTTGAGCTATGAAGATTGCCTTGGACTCGCCGAGTCAGGGCATTGACTCGCCGAGTCCTAACATGGGTGAGTTCGGCTCCCAACTCACCGAGTCACCCCCTGTGACTCATGGCTCAACTCGACACATGATGAAGGGACCAAATCGGTGACTCGCGACCAACTCGCCGAGTCACCTATGCGACTCGCCGAGTCGCGCCATGCACTCCTTAACTATACCGATTTGCTCGATTCCAGTCCATGCCATTCATAGATCTGGACTTCTAGGACACAAATCACACGTAAAGTTTCCAACTTTACGTGTGGATATTCACCAATATGGATTATAGGGCTCAAAATGTCTCAAAAGGGTAGATCTAGGGCTAACAAGCCTCATGGGGCCAAAAAGCTAACAGATCTGAGCTCCTGGAGCTCAATCTTGCATAGATCCAAAGGCCAAACGCCTTATTACACAATAATGCACATACAAACTTGGGGAATTGACCAAGAAGGACCCAAATGAAGTTTTAAGCATAGAATCAAGGGGAAAACGGGTTATACCTCAAAGGAAATGTTGAAATGACACAAAGATGGCTGATCTCCTTCTCCTCTTCTTGATCTACTCCTCTTACTCCTCAAAACCTTCAAGAACACACCAAGAACACCTCAAACTCTCAAGGAAACAAGGGAAAACGATGTAGGGGGAGTTCTGGGGGTGAATGGGGACGAGTTGGGGCGGAATGAGAGTTTAAATAGGGTGCAAACCCTTGAAACTTAGGGTTTCATCCAGCAGCGGTGACTCGCCGAGTCCAGAATGTGGACTCGCCGAGTCGCCTACTTAAAACGTGTCCTGAGTCTCGTCCCTACTCGGCGAGTCGGACCCTATGACTCGCCGAGTCCAAGGCTAAATTAGGGCAATGCTCAAATAAAATTCACATACCGGAAACCAGGTGCTACATGGATAAACCCTAGAAACTTAATAGGGGAATTGTGTCATTTTCCCTATAAACATAATATATTTATCCAACATAAGTAGGACTTCACATCCAACAAATCTAACAAACTAGGAAACATAAATTGATTTTATTCGAAACAATGTTACTATATTCCTCTGATGTTGTCTTGTATACTAATAGGGTATAAGACCTATCGTACATATACCCTCATCGGGAAAAGATTCACGTTCGGTTCGATATAGACGAACCGCCGAACCTTAAAGAATCACTCCGGAACTAGTCTAGTCGGGACGGTACAAAGTGTAATGTGACAGAACCACTGAAGAACAAACGATGAATCCACATGATGGAAGAGTGATTAACGAAATTGATGTATTTTTAGTATTAATATCATTAAGATACATACTATAGTGTAGTTGGATCTTAACAATTCTTGAGATCTAATAAAAGTGACTAATAATGTTACCAAAGTACACGCTTTTATACCTTCGGTTCCATGGGCATTAAATGCAACGAGACAGGAACATGCTCGGTAAGTGATGTGCGTAATTTATACCTACTAGTTTTACCAACTATCTACTTACTATTACGACTTAAGACAATGTACCTTTTCATAAATAATATAGCACTAATAGTTGGGTATCGAACACAGGAAATAGATTTAATTAGTTAGTTCAACTACTACAAATTAATCTTAAACAAACAAAAGTTAATTGGGTTTTTATCTGATTTTGCAAGTTCAGACAAAGTTAATCACTTAACTATCAAATTCAATCAATTACAAAAAAACACTTCCGTTTAGTTCGAACCCACTTCTCCTCTATGGTTAGCTATTAATTATGGATTATTAGAGTTAGATACTAAATTTTATAAGTAATTTAAGTCCAAATTTACTAATGTTTCACTAATTCATGTAAAACTATGTATGGTCACAAATAATCAAACACATATTCAGTTATGGATTATTAATGGGGCTATGTAAGATTTATTTAACAAACACAATTATGGTTATAATTTATGTTCTCCAGCACAGCTAAATTTAATTACTAAAATCACTTATCTAACATTGGGTCGATCCTAGCTCTAGCAATTCAATGGTCACTAAATCACTAGGTGTCATGTAGCACCTGGTTTCCAGTATGTGAATTTTATTTGATTATTTCCCTATTTTAGCCTTGGACTCGGCGAGTCATAAGGTCCGACTCGCCGAGTAGGGACGAGACTCAGGACACGTTTAAGTTGGCGACTCGGCGAGTCCATATCCCGGACTCGGTGAGTCACCGCTGCTGGATGAAACCCTAAATTTCAACGGTTTGCACCCTATTTAAACCCTCATTCCGCCCCAAGCTCGTCCCCATTCACCCCCAGAACTCCCAACATCGTTATTCCCTTATTTCCTTGAGAGATTGAAGTGTTTTGGAGTGTTCTTGAAGATTTTGAGGAGAAAGAAGAGTAGATCAAGAAGAGGAGAAGGAGACCAGGCATCTTTGTGTCATCTCAACGTTTTCCTTGAGGTATAGCTCGTTTCCCCTCTGTTTTCAAGCTTGTAATCTCTTTTAGCTTCATAGGAGTCCTTCTTGGGCTCTTCCCCAAGCTTGTTTGTGCTTTGTGGGTTGTAATAAGTTGTTAGCCTTTAGATCTAGGCATGATTTAGTCCCTGGAGCTTGGATCTAATGCCTTTATGGGGTCATATTGCATGAAAGCCCTAGATCTACCTCTTTTGGTGCACTTTGAGCCTTAAAATCCATATTGGTGAATATCTACACGTAAAGTTGGAAACTTTACGTGTGATTTGTGTCCTAGAAGCCCAGATCTGTGAATGGCATGGACTGGAATCGAGCAAATCGGTGTATTTGATGGATGCATGGCTGCGACTCGGCGAGTCGTATATGTGACTCGACGAGTCTGGTCGCGAGTCACTGAATTGGTCCCTTCATGATGTGTCGAGTTGAGCCGTGAGTCACAGGGGGTGACTCGGTGAGTTGGGAGCTGAACTCACCCATGTTAGGACTCGGCGAGTCAATGCCCTGACTCGGCGAGTCCAAGGCAATCTTCATAGATCAAGAACAGACTCGGCGAGTTGTTCATACAACTCGGCGAGTCTTAGCATATGTGTTCTTCGGATGAAGATGAACTCGACGAGTTGTTCATACAACTCGGCGAGTAGGATGAAGGAGTTGAATGTCAGTTTAGAAGATGAACTCGTCGAGTCATAGCCCAACTCGACGAGTAGAATCAGGGACCCAGGACAATAGTCTGGACAGGGACTCGGCGAGTGGAGATCCACTCGGCGAGTCGGGTCAACTAAAAGTTGACTTCGAATTGACTTAGGGCTAGACCAGGGGTAAAATGGTCTTTTTACCCAAAGGACAGTTAGCAGTGTATGATTAAGTATATTGTGGGAATTACAGCCGGGGAGTTTCCGGAGCAGCAGCAGCAGTAGTAGGTGATCAATTCCCACACAGACCAGCAGCTATTTCGAGGTGAGTTTCCTTCCAGTAGTAACGGGTCTAAGGCACCAAGGCCGGCCCGTATAGACGAGACGTTAGTATTAGAGTGTGGGCCGAGCCCGTATCTCTTAGTTGAGTTGATTATGATATATGCCAGTAT